TTATTAGTTGGTTTCAGTGTAATTCAGAACAGAAAACAGCCCTTCATTCGGAAGGTATCTATAATATTTAGTTCTATTTGACACTGAGCTGCAGGTGGTAAAATGGGCAAAAGATTCACTCAGTCAAAATTGCCTACATTTTACAGAAATTACAAAATGGGAAAATGGGAAGAAAACAATAGCAAAGGCTTTGGAAGAATGAAGAAAATGCCCTTTCTCCTGTTACTACTGTTCTGTTGGTTTGGGTTTTTGGGGTTGTTTTTGTTTTTTGTTTTTTTTTTTAAATCCATATGCTATGTTCAACATCTGTTAAAGAAGAAACAAGTTCTGTACATGTGAGGGAAAAAATAGTCAAGAGGTTTCTCAAAGACTTAAAGAGCAAACTACTTTCAAAACTACAGTTGCATATTGAGGTTCAATGTCATCTTCAGATAAATGCAGACAGTGTCATCTTCAACTTATCTCTGCTTAGGTTAACAATGAGCAGCTGACATGCAAATATTGAAGGGTGGGCTAGTGCTGCTGAACAGAAAGAAAAACTGAGTAACTTTTCAGCTCTGTGACAGTGTCCTCATTTACCACCAAATTAGCATTAAATCTTTAGATCAGTGAAGCAATTCACAGCCTTGTTGGTCACTGGAATACCTCACTGCTTCTGGATACTAAGATCTGTCAGTGTCCATACTCTGTTGGAAATCAATTTGTGCCTTTCCCACTCAGAATTAGATTTAGCCACAGAAAGCTTTGCATTTGTGATCTCCGTGCTCAGTTATGGTAAATCTCTGTATTCAGGGTTAAAACACTGTTCTCAAAAATCTAAAATTGTTTCCAATGCAGAAAAAACAGTAACACAAGTTACTGGTATCACTGCATGTTAGTGGTCCCCTGGTAAATATTGCATTAGATTCAAAGATAGACATCTTCAAACTTCTGCAAAGATTCATTTCTAGTCAGCGGGATTATGACACTCCCCCAGTAAAGCATTTACTTTCTGTAATGTCAGCAATTCACTGGAATTACTCCAGTGTATGGGAGACAAATTTTTCTGGTAACTTGTCTCCCAAGCCTAGAATTCGTTGCCATTGCTCACATAAAATATCTCTAACAAGAAATTTTGTGTACATACTTGAGGAAGATCTTAAACAATATGTTCACTCTTGTTGTTAACGGGGAAGTAGGAAAAAAACCTCACTTGTTTTTCATGCAGATGGACATCACTCTGTGAATGCAGTGGGTTTTAATATTTGATTTTAATATTCATTGGTGAGTTGCTGAAACCAAACCTAGCTATATAACTTCAACACAGAAATAGAAGATACACTTTTTCCTGCTTCATTCATTATCTTTCAGTAAGCTGGACAGTGAAGGGAGACACTGCAACTCTAGACCCTTCCAAAATATACTGCAAAATCCACTTTTCTTCAGTGTTTTTCCTGAATATTATACAAAGTAGCCATTCTCAATGGTTTATGCTTTTTGTTAATTAAAAATAATTTGTATATAAGGGAAATTTTTACGATTAAACTCATGGTAGAATCCTTAGGATAGACCACTTGTTCTCAAAATTAAAAATCCAGTGACAAAAATGCAATTAATTTTTTCCCAAGCCCACTGTTTCAATACTCTCATTTGTTTAATCTGTATTATCATTTCCTTAAAAATTTGAAGCTTTTTGGCTTTTTGAGGCTGAAAACAGTATTATCTCCTGTGTTTTCATTCAATTATTATGAAATGCAGTTACAATTATGGAACAGAGTACATGTTGTGTGAGACAGCCAATGGTAATCCTGTCTCTCATGTATCAATTTAGAGACAGTTTTGTTATCAATGCTTATTGTTCTATTGACTTCAGTAAATTTCAGATGAGCTTCATTGTGAGTTTGTGTGATGGGGAACCTCTGGTGAGGACTAGGCATAACCTAACAGCTACTGTAAATTGCATTAAGCCTTTACAATTAACCAAACAACAAATAAATCAATGCAGGAAATAGTATGTTGAAGGGTCACCTGTCCTGGTTTCAGCTGGGATGTAGTTAACTGTCTTCCTAGTAGCTGGTACAGTGCTATGTTTTGAGTTCAGTATGTGAATGTTGATAACACTGATGTTTTCAGTTGTTGCTCAGTAGTGTTTAGACTATAGTCAAGGATTTTTCAGCTTCTCATGCCCAGCCAGGGCACCTGACCCAAACTGGCCAACAGTGTATTCCATATCATGTGACGTCCCATCTAGTTTAGGAACTGGGAAGTGGGGGGGCAGGGATTCGCCACTTGGGGACTGGCTGGGTGTCAGTCGACGGGTGGTGAGCAATTGCCCTGCGCATCATTTGTACATTTCAATCCTTTTATTACTACTGTTGTCATTTTATTAGTGTTATCATTATCATTATTAGTTTCTTCTTTTCTGTTCTATTAAATCGTTCTTATCTCAACCCAGGAGTTTTACTTCTTTTCCTGATTTTCTCCCCCATCCCACTGGATGGGGGGGGAGTGAGTGAGCAGCTGCATGGTGCTTAGTTGCTGGCTGGGGTTAAGCCACAACATCGCCTCAATAAGAAAATAAACCATGTAGTCACAGAAATGGCCATTTTTCAAGCTAAGGTGGAAAAGGCAGGCTTCAGACTAATTCTAATTCTTCTGTCTGAGCAGTGAGATTTAAAATTCCTATGGAATAATAAAAGGCTAATAGCATTCTTGACAAGGAAAACTGAGGGAATGGGAACATCAATTGTAGGAATGAGTGATAAAATTATTTAATTGACACTAACCTAAAGATAGATTTATACAAAAAGTATGATGGTCAAGTGATGGATTAAGCCTCTGAGTATACAAAAAGGCTTTCTTCTGCATCTGACTCTAGTGGAGTTGAAGAGATGATTTTACTCTGTAAATATGTAATTTGTAATTTGACAAGAAGATGCAAGTATTGTGATGAATGGGATAAAAATTACAGGTTAAAATACATTGTTTCAAATACTTTTTACAGGAAGCTGAAGAACAAACTGTAGTCAAAGATAACAGTTAACACACTTTTGTAATATTGCTTGAATGCAAATTTTGACATCTCTTGATATAACTTCTGTGGTTTTATTCGAATAACACAAAGAAAACATTTTGTGTCATGGAGAAGCTTCAAGTTTCAAACATTACTTTTGGAGAGTTAACAGTTGAAAGCTAGGAAATTTCAGCCAGAAGTGCATTTTTGATAAGGTAAAGGAAAACAACACTTTGCAAAAATTATATTGCTATTTTCCAGATCTATCTAGTCTGAATTATGAGGATCATGCAATGGCTGACAGAACATCCTCAGCAAATGATAAAAAGCACCAAATGAAATCTGTAAATTTGAGCTTCCCATTTATGTACATTAGCATTTAAGAATTGTATAAAATAAACTTCATTCAAGCAGTTTTAGATCAGAGATCCAATGACATGGCTAGACTGTTGCAACCCTACTGCTCCTGACAAAAAAGAGTAGGAAACAGAACTAAAAGACACAGCTTCTGCTTTTAGCCTGGGTTATGAACATTTATGCTGCACTGAAGTAAAACAAATTGTTTGCTTTTAAACTGGTGAATGATGGCTGTATTGCATTGTTCAATAGTTGTCTTGGCTCCCCATTCAAGTTCACATACACACTGTGTAAAAGTTTGCAGGGAATCTTAAGCAGCTTCAGAAAAAGGAGCTGGAAGTATAACTTATCCTGTGCAACATCTGGGGTACTTTTCTTCTTGAAAGATGAATTTGAGGGGCTTGTAGGGAACCAACTCATCTGTTGCAGAGAAAAGAGAATTTGGCAGGGAAAAAAGGGAACTGACATTGGAATCTCTGCCTTGTAATTCAAGTGGGCACATCCCAATGTCAGCTGTAACCACAACTAAGATAAGCAAACTGGTGAAACTTCACTGGTTGTAAATTAACAGGCAGGGCTAGTCTAATCACTGGGGAGAGCTACATCCCTAGTCTTTCACATATAGCCTTAGATAAAAACCCCCAAACCCCCAACAACAACAAAAATAAGTGCTGCCTCGGATACAAAGCAGCGAGGAATTACAATAACCGAGTTTTGACTCAGCTCCTTTTGCTTTTTGCTGTGATGCTAGAGCAAAGGGCATGGCTTGAAAGGCTTTTAAGGGACCGTCAGTGGCCTGGACCACAGGGAGCGCTCCAGGGATCGCAAGCAGAGCAGCGGGGTGTTAGGTCCTCAGTATTGCCGAACGCAAAGCCCAGACACTGGATCTCGTTAGCCAGCATCACACGCCGACGTTTGTATTTAGCTCTGCTCCCGCACCCGAGTCTCGGAAAAGTGATCTCTATTCACTTTACGCCTTCTTAGTCCCCACCATCAGCCAAGCCCTGGTGAAGCTGCAGCGAGTGGCAGGGGCAGGCAAGGCTGCCAGGACCAGAGCTGCTCTCGCTGCCCACCAGCCTGCCCACGGCCGCCGTCAGCAGAGGTAATTGCCCGGGCTGTTATCTCCCTGGAGTCTGCGTAGTGCTTCCAAATACCTCTAATTGAATTAATGTAATTTTTGCCCTTCCTAATGCAGTGGGTTGGTGAGGGGGAAATGACCCAGGAGAGGCGGAGGAGAGGGGGGGTGGGCGGCTCTCGTCTCCCCCTTCCCTCTCCCGGTGGTGCTGCAGCCCATAAAGAGCGGAGGGAAGCGAGGGTGGGCGTGCAGATCTGCAACCCGCGCACTGTGGCCATGCAGTGAGCGCCCCCGGGACGAGCCGCGCCCCCTCCGCCCCGGACCGCCAGCACCAGCGCTGCCAGGGAGAGGCCGTCGCCCCCCAGTTCAAGGTACTCCCCTCTCGGACTCTCTCCCGGTGCGAATCTGGGTGCCAAACCGAAACCCGTAGCCGCAGCCGCCCTGCCCCACGGGAAGAAGGCTCAGCCCCCCCCCCCTTCCCACCCGTGGCGGGGATGCTCCCGTGCTCTGTGGGATCCGTAACTGGAAAGCAAAGCGGTAACTCGGAGCACTTACCCCAGAACGGTTTCTTTCCAGATGCAGAGGTGCACTAGTTTCCTGTTTCTGTCTTTAATCCTTTGTGCCACCCTGTCAGAAACACTTGGACTGGTTTTCTCGGTAAGTACTAATTTCACTGTTGGAAGCCCTATATCCGTTGGGCAGTGTCCATGTCTCAGCTGGCAAGTAATACTAAACCTTGCGGTGATACACACTGCATTTAGATACAGGGGCTGGGCAAGATGCAGCACTCAAAACCACTTTGGGCAGTAAACAGGTTTTTAGTAAAGAATTTGCGGTTCTTTAATACTAGCTCCCTTGTAACAAGTAACAGGACTAAAGGAAGGGAAAGAGAGTGTCTGGTTTACAGCTCAAAATTGAACAGGTGTCCCACCTGACTCAGAAATAGGTGGTGTGCATGTGGACCTCTTATAAAGAGGCTGTCATGTAAATCCAAACGATTAAAAGAAAACATTGCTGTTTGTTAAGGTGATTATCAGGTGGTAATATAGACTTGCAGTATAAAGTCAAAATTTATGCCTCCAAAGTGTGATTCGCAGTTTCTCTTATATGGGGTGAAATCTTCACTTCGCATGGATGTCAATAGCAAAACTACTGACTTAGATGGGGGGGAAGGACAAGAGTTCACCGTTATTTTTTTCTTAATATTATTTGCTTTTATTTTTTACAATATTTCTGATCTCAAGCCTTCAGAAGACACTTTCTGCTAAGAGAATGCCCATTTGGGTGCTGTTTCCTTTGTCTTCAGAAAGCACTATGTAGTTCATAACATACTTTCACTTTTTTCTTTAAGGCAAGAGAAAAAAGGGGCTGGACTTTGAATAGTGCTGGTTACCTGCTTGGGCCACGTAAGTCAAGCACTTTCTTTTTGCATTATTTCAAAATGCAGAAGTTTTTTTTCTTGTGAACCAGTTTGCTGCAGTGTGCTACTCACTTTTCTGATGATTACAGTAATTTTGTCTAAACCTGCAAGACTGAAGAAACTCATTTGGGAGAATACTTGTTTAGATATCAGTTACATGCCTATTATAGAGTTGACTTGTCTTAGACAATAACTGTTCTTTTTTAAAGCAGAGTGGTGCTGTGAAACTTTGTGCACATCTGCTCACTCTTTGTTCTTCTGAACTGTAATTTTCATATGACAAATACTACCCCACCCCTCCCCCAAAGTGTTACAACATCTTATAGCATCTTAGATGTCAAGGGATGAATGACGAAATGTGACATTTTGGCACTTTTCAATGTATTTCAGATTTCACCTTTAAATCTGTTTGAAAATGGCTTTGCTACCTGGCTTTATTATACTACTAATTTTTTTTTTCCTCAATTAAAGCAAAACAATTTAAAACAATAACACACAAACTCATGACTGTAAATATTAACAGTTCACTCTGTGAAAAATATTTAATGTAGAAGGTGTTTAAAATACAGGAATACAATGGTTTACAAAGATGGAGAATCACAAATTAAGATTATGTGAAATGCAGTGCTAAGCTGTCTCAAATATCTGTCCTTTTACCCTTATTTGTTGTTAATGTAATAACACTCACTACCAATGTTTCTATGTTTTCTGTCTTAGCAGTACATAACAAATACTACAGATACTTACTGTGACTCTCTTCATTATTTTTAACTAACCTTAAGGATACCTAAAAAAAAAGATTAATGCATCTTAAAGATATTAACTGGTTCTGTAAATGTGTGGAAGTGTATTAGCCCCAAAGCAGATCTAACCAAATTGGCAAAGATACTGTGGGGAAATGTACTTGTCAAAGTGCCATTTATCTAAGACGGGATAATAGGAATCATCCTTTGTTGCAGGTCTTATTGATCAGCTTTTACTGATAAAGGCAATCCCCATTGCAAGGGGGAGAGAAGAGGCACCAGGGGCATGTAAGATAGTTTACATGAATAACCTTCAAAAACTATCTGCAGTTTTCTTTTAAGCAAACTCATTGGCATCATTTTCTAAAAATAGAGGAAAGAGTAGCAAAAACAACTTCCCAAATTACACGTGAATGTACAAACTTATATTTTCTTTACAACTTCCTCTGAATTCAGCAATAGCTTCAGCAGCTATGTAGTACAGGACTAGGTTTGTAAATGATATAAATCATAAGCACAAATTCAGAAGACAGGTTATTTCATTTAGTGACACATTAATTGCTTCTTTGTCATTTTGTACATCAAAAGTGCCCATCATGATCTCTTCTTTGAAATCCATGAAAAACAAGCAATGCAGCAAAGGTTGTTGCTATGTCAATTAACTCCTCTGATTTTTAATTTATCAGATGCAGTAGATAACCACAGATCTTTTAATGACAAACATGGTTTCACTGGTAAACGTGAAATACAGCCTGATGAGGATATTAAAGCAGGTAATGAAATTCTGAAAGCCAGTATTGTTGATTTTGTTTTTATGTTTAGTAATATATTTACTGTTATTGAGTTAACTACCTACCTAGATACAAGGCTATTCCTGCACTTTAACAAAAATCCTAATAAACATATGAAAGGAAGAAAAATGAAATTTGGCCATTCAGTGTGCTCTTTGTACATGGTCATAGTTTAAAACATCTTGGTGCCCAGGGAAAAGTGCCATAAATATGTTGCTTTTAAAGTATAACAGATCATATTACTTTGAATAAACCTAGCTTTTTCTTTTCATATGTTCAAATAAGTAGTTCAAATGTCACCCTATACACTCAAGAGCTAATTTTTTTTTCAGCAAAGAAGCAAGCTCATAAAGGAATCTTTCAGTAGGGAAAGCTATAGAAACTGGCTTTTATTAATTTATTTATTCATTATTTTTTATTTTATTCTGATGCTCCAGAGCTAAAACTAGACCTCAGAACTGTATGGCACTGTTTATGTCGTAAGAGTCTTCACTATTTAAAAAAAAAAAATAATCATGTTAAGTCTCATAATATTTCCTATGTTTAAGCAAGATGGACTAACTTCATTAAAAGATTGAGAACCTGGTCAAAACCGAAGTCAAGTTAACATATTTTTTTGAGGTTGCATGTATCGGAGTTTAATAAGCGGCAATGAAAAGGATGCAGCCTTGTTCTGGATTTGTCATCCAAGGCTGGGCCTCTACAATAGATGTCTAGACTCCCTTTATAAAGAGAAGCTGGCACTTTTAGCATTTATTTTGAACACCTACTTCAGGATAAGATGTAGAAACTTCTAGAAAAACCGGTTTCTTTCTCCTGAGGAGAAACTAAATCTGCTGCAGACGTCTAAAGTCAGCTAGGATGAATCTCGTCTTTCGGCTGTCAGAGGGTGATCTGTCCTTACTGCAACCAAAGCAAGCGGTACTTACATGAGTACTCTTGCATTCAGTACTGCACTGATGGGGGAGGACAAAGTCCCAGCCCCAGAGCTCTCACAGGCTATTTTAAATCCACCCTGCACAATGCAAATGTAGCTAACACTGAAGAAGTTCATAAATAAAGGCAATGTGCTTAATTACAATTTCATAGACATAATTCCAAATAGAAAAGTAACATTAATACATTTCTTAGTTGCTACATTCTCAGAAGGACTGCCTGTTTAGTTCTGGTACAGTTACATTGTGGGGTTTTGTGCATGTGGTGGTTTTTGGTTGGGAGTGGTTGTTTGTTTTGTGGGTTGGTTTTTTTTGTTGTTGTTGGTTGGTTCGGGGTTTTGTTTTTAAGAAAAAAGGAGAAAAAAAAAAAGAGAAAGGAAGAACCTACTTCCTCAAACACTGGTGTAAAAATAATATTTTAATAGTCAGAAACAATGTGAAAGGTAGGCGTTTGGAATCTAACAATGCAGCTCACATTGCAACATGTTGCCATTTGTGGATATGCTACCAGGTCCTTTACAGGAATATGGTCTTTAAGATTTAGTCTTCTGCCAGGTACTGCTGCACCTCCACAATTACAAGTAAACTCAATCAAACTTGTCTGGATGGGACCTGAAAATTATATAACAGCCTCTGTTCTGGACCTCATTTTAGATGTTGTTCTCTCATCAAAAGTTTTCTTTGAAGCTGAAGTTTATTATAGAGTTCCTATTCAAAGGAGATATGAATATAAAAAAAAATGCATAAGGTAGTCAGAATTCTTATTTTAATTGGAAATGAAGGATTTTTTTTATTAAATTCACACTATTACTGTAAAAGAATTAATGCAAAGGACTCCTCTCTCTCCTTGAAGGAATACTGCAAAATTCACAAGCTCTTCAGATAACCTAGAAGAACTTGTAAGTTGTATTATTTACTTAACACTAGGTCAGGGGAGGATTTAAAAAAAATCTATGAGCATAACTAGGATAATTGTTAAATTCCAAGAGCGTAACTATTTCTTTACTAGAGTCTGCAAGTAATAGGCTACACAGAATTAAGGTCAATAGCAGAGTATATAGAAACACACATGTACAATATGCTCAAGTCACTAAAGAAAAATAATCCAATAAATATCACATTGGTAACAAAATCGGAGTCAATAAGCTACTAATATAATAATGATTAATCATAACAAAACCCTGTATCAGGTTAGGTGAGTATAAAAAATAAATTAAGGAAAACTTCAAATAATACAAGTATTATTAATATGAGTAATAATATCTCTGTGAGTTCAAAGACTGGAAGACAAGACTTTTAGATGCAAATTTCTTAAATGCTGACTGGCTATATACCAGGAACCTTTGTGTCCCTTGCAACTCCCCATCAATATTTTTTATTTGTGCTACAGAGCTCAGTCAGCCTTCTGGGCTGTATGTCACTTCTCTTCCATCATGGAAGAGCTCCCCCAACATTCACCTGCTGCAAGTCAGTCTTTCAGACTATTTTCTGAGATAAAACACATCCCCTAGGATAACATCAAGGGACGGGCTTTTGAGTGATACACTAATGGACTGTCAGTCAGATAGTGGTACCCATCTGCCTGTGTGCAGAGAGCTAAAAATCTTAGTGAAATTACCTATCATTTGTTCTCTAATATAGAACAATTCTCCATCCTGTTGATAAAAAGCAAGATGTCTTCCCCCCCCCCCCCCCCATTTTTTTTTAATAGACACAGAAAGCATACTTCTCAATCTCCCAAAGTGCAGTAACAAGCTCCCAGGGAGCTTGATAAGTTGGGCCATTTAAAAAGCATCAAAAGGCCTACTTCCACAAGATCAAAGAGGAGTATATTGTATTAGATACATATGCAAAAACATACCTTTCTGAGCTTTTAGTAAAGTCCCAGGCCTAGCTTTTGGGCTACAAATCACTTCTCTATCACTCGAATGGCTTATTGGGAACAAGATCAGATGTTGTGAAGACTTTTTAACTGTTTTGCAAAGTTGATGAATGTGTTTACTAAATTCACCTTTCCCTTAAATCTCAGGCTGGTGGACACAAAGGAGAGAGTTGATAACAGAGGCTAACTCTCTTCTGCAGCAGAACTCGTAAAGCCTTAAAGACCATGACCATTAAGGTGCCAAAGCAGCTCCTATGCAGGAATAGCATACAAAGCTGGGCAATTTTGATTCTGAGAATTGCAGTTACCTACCTTAATGTGGCTTTGCTCTTCCATTAAATGAGGTTTTTCTAATGAGGATTTTAAGGAAAAAGAAACTTCAAATAGTTTTTTTCAGATTACTCATAAACCTAGCCACAATGTCACATACAATAGATCTTCATACCATGTTAACATTAAGTAACAACCAACTTGTTTTATAGGGAATCTTGGAAGACTGCTGGCTGATGAAAACATTGTGCGCACAGTAATTGAATTTTTGGCTTATTTGCATCTTAAAGGTTAGTGAATACCTTTTTAATCTTTCACACCTTCTGGTGTGAAACTTACTGAGAAGATAGGACTGTCCTTGAATGTACAAGTCTGCTACAGGTTTGAGTGTGCAAGACCTTGAACAGCATCTCTGGTGGGGGGGAGAAACTATCAATTCCATTTTAGTGCACTTAGGAATAGGCCTGATTCAGAGAGTGCAGGTAGTACTGCTAAACTGCAGGTCAATGAATATCCAACATAGCCAGGTTCTAATACCATTTGATTACTCTGGGCACCATGAAAATAATAAAAGCTACTACTAAAACTGTAGGGACCCAACTTTTAGAATAGTTGAACACAGACTAAATACAGTCTGATTACATGGGAGTTAGTATAAAACAATTCAATAACTAATTAAATAAGACCTCAGTTTAATGTCAAAACCAGTTAGTTGAAATTCTGAAACACTTGTTAGTGATGAAAGAAATACATCTCCCTTTCTTCATGTATTCTACAACAAAGTCACATCATAAAATTGCAACAACACTAAGCTCAATGTTGGCAAACAGCTCAAAATGCTGCTAGTAAAAACTCTGTGGAGTCTCAAAATTGTGACAAGAAATATAAAACTGAGCTTACAGCTGATTCTATAAGAATGGTAATTTTATTATAGCATTCGATGAAGAAGAAATCTGGCTGCTTCTGAGTTTTCATTAGTTTTGCTTTTTTAAGAAAAACAACACAATTCTGAGCCTTTAAAAACCTCTTCAGCCCTTCTAAAACTGTCTACAAAACCATAATGAATACTTGCAAATTATAAACAGTTTTGTAGCAAGTGTATGCTGTAGAATAGTAACAAAGAACTGTGTGTTACTTTTGTATTTTAAATTCTTTATTAAAAGAGACTTTCAGGAGATCTGTTCATTTTTTGCATATATAGGAAACAAAATTCTAGACCTCTCTGGTGCCATTTTCTAAATGATTTGTATCTACCCAAGCGAAATAACTCTCACTACTGAAAATATCAACTAAAGTCCTTATTGAATCAACTTTGCATTTGAAACAAAAACTCTTTATGGTTAGTACTAAGGGCCTGAGAGAATTCATGTATATATATTTAAAGTAGATTATTAGCATGTATATTTACTGTGGACAAAGTAGTAGCTTGTTTGTTGTGCCACTGTGAAAAAGAAGGAGCCCTAAACACTCCTTTACTCTGCTATGTGAGCCTAGGAAGTAAAACCAGTAACTGGACACAACAGGCAGGGTGTGAAACATGTTGAGCTCAAGCATGCACTCTCTGATGAGTAGGGTAAGAGCTGCTAAGTTGGGCAAGAAAATTGAATGCATCTCATAGAAATATAAAATACTCCTTCCCTGGGAAGAATGAGCAAAAAAGGTTGTATTGCCCCTCTAGATAACTATTCCTTGTTTAGGATAGTGATGACAAAGAGCTGGTTTTTTTTTCAGAAATTATGGTATTATTATCTGTCCTCATAAAAAATGGGAATCTCCAGATCATATAAAATGGCTTTTCCCCGAGATAGTTCTTGTATTCCCAGGTTTCAAAAGACACAGAATGTTACCGTAGTATCCCTTAACAATATTTATTGGCAAGACCTAGTACAAACTCTTACACAAAATCAGAACTGTAGATTTAGGAGGTGAAAAACATACTTTATTATGGTAGAGACGCTTCAACTTTTTTGCTGAAATGAAACTTTACTACATTAAATATATTGGTTTAGATATGTTCCTTTGGGGGCAGGGGGAAAACTCCCACTCATGGGATTCAGATTCAGGGAATAGTTATGCAGATTAGGCATAACCTGCAAGATAAAGTTGAAATATTAACTGCTAAGAAGTATCTTGGCAATAACTAAAAGTGCCCTTCAGCTCTTTCTCTTGAAAATTGCTCCCTCCAGCTATAAAGGCTTCCCATATAGAGCAGGCTGTAGGATGACAGCCATAACTGGATAATATTAAAACTTCTGAGATGTTGGGATCTAGCAATATCAATTGACATAATAAAATTGATATAATTCCATTGTAATTGTGTCACTGCTGTTTCTAAAAAGGTGAAATTACAGCAGGAAGATATTACTAACATTCAGAAGAAAAAACCCAATAGTTTATAAATTAAAATATGAAAAGTTCAAGGATTTGCCTCTTATAGTTGAGAGAAGAAAAATATAAAAATGTATACTACTCAAATTGGATTTCATTAGTTAATTGCTAAGATTAATATGCATACTTACATATGTGTTAATTTTTTTTTTTTTCTTCCTTTTTGCAGAGATGGGAGCACTTGACAAACTACCTTCTCCAGAGGAAACAAACCAGTCTTGAAGAATAATGCATTTTTATTGTGTCGTAGTGTAGATTTAGATTGAATTCTAAACAAAAGATCCAAATGAGCTGAAGATGAGAAGTATTGTTTGCATTAATCTGATAAATGGTAAACAGCTTTCTGCCCTCTGTTTTGTTTGTTTGTTTGTTTCATTTTTTTGGGGTTGGGTTTCTTTTTTTTTTCCTCTCCTGTGATGTTTAGTGTAAAATTTTGCCTTGGTAAAATTTTTCTGTAGGCAAATGATAAAATAAAAACAAAGAGCAACTACACTGTTTCATTTTAAAATTAAATACATACCAGCACACAATACTTCATATACAAGCCCAAGTTAAACTGTAAGATTACACTACATCTATAGTCTGCAAATTACAGTAAAATAAAACGTAAGTACTACATATTGGGTACGTTAGCTAGCTGAGAAAAAGAGGAAGAGTGACTTCAGACTGCTGCCATAGACTCTTTTTAGGTCACAGATCTGTCTGTACTTCTACACTTCATGGAAGCCTCACTTCCTGTTCATATTTTCATAGATATGAAATAAACTCGTGTTCATTTTAAATTTCATATTATTTGGCTGTACTACACCAGACCATTGACCAAAGCATACCTTCACACAATACAAAGTTAACTGTTCTGTATAGGTAACAGATTTACAGAAATCCTATGTATAAGATTCTTATTCCTATGTTGTCAAGAATACTGGATCTGTATTCTTTAATGAAGAAACTCTCCCATCCACTCCAAGATTTAAAAAAAAAAAATTATTTTATGAGATACTTTAGTCTGAGTCCAGCAAAGCCCTTGAATACATGCTTAATCTCTACAAAAGAGCTTTGATGTACTGGGACCAGAATGCTATGCCCATACACAATAAATGTCATATCAAGAATAAGGAAAGGTTTGAGAGGATATGGAATCTTAGAAATCTTTTTCACATTCAGATGATTTTCACTCTCTGCATAGTGCAATGAAATACATCCTTTCAAAACACTGCTGTGCACTAGAGTGCACAGACTATCAGAAATTTTGCAGAACATTATTACATAATCTGTTTTTCACTTCTAGTATAGCATATTAGCATAGAATACATTCTAGATGCCAAGTTGCTAGTGTCTGATTTGAACCCACAAGGTTATTTCACCTTGTCAATCAGCCTGTGCTCTTCCTCTGATAATCACTCAGCCTCCGATCTAATGTCTGATGTCACTTTCCAAAGTGTACAAACTACAATTTATATCAGATCCAATGAGCTTTTGAGCAAGCCCTTCACACAATGTTTTACTATTTTATTGTTTTTGAAAAAGTAACAGAAAAGTATACGCTGCTAGTATACATGCTGCTAGTTCAACAGTATATGGTAAATTTGTGGGCTTCCAAAAATGTGGAAAAAAAAAAAAAGTGAAAATTAATTTCTCTACATTAGTATAGTTCAGTAATTCCAAACTCTCATTTTCAGTAGTAATGTCCACATTTCCCATCATAAACTTGAAGCAGAGCTCACTAAAATCAAGAGGCATACTTTTCATTGACTTCCATGGACTTTGGTTCATTGACTGCTAAGAACCAGTATCCATTTGCAGAACTCGGTAACAAGCCATCTTTCTATGGCAGAGCAGTTGAATCTGTGATCAAATAAAAAGATCACAATTTTAGCATTGAATTTCTTTTCTTTTGAAATAGGATAAGAAATTTAATTTAAAATTAGAAAAGTTACTACAAATCAAATTAGCATACTGTTATCTCATTAAAGTTGGAATGGTTTTGTTAGAATGTTTATTTGAAATTCTGAAATTTGAGATTATTTGAAATACTGAAAACCCATAGCATCAAGGTCCTTGGAAGATTTACATCACTGTCTAAGCAGGGAAGCCCACAACGTCTTACTCATTGTGCTGCACTGCTACATGCATATATTATAAAAAACCACAAACGATCATTATAATCTAATTACTAAAAGCAGTCCACATGCTTTCACTTAATAATTACTGCATCCAAACATATACTGGTAATATTCCAAAATACAGAGAGAGGTAAAATTTTCAGACTGTTTCTCCACCCTCTACAGCTCTTATCTTTGCAAAAACAAAGGAGCAAAAAAAACCGGTAAAGGGGCATTCTTCTGGACCACGTTCAGTAACATTATTTTATTAACATTTATTTTATTTAAAACATGTCTTACATCACTACGTCTCAGACCTAAATTCTGCAAATATTTGGAATGGCATCTCCATAATCAGCTTCTCAGACAAACACCTGATATAAAATGGCCTTTAAACCACAATTTGAAAGCAATAGTTTCAACGGGGCAAAGAGACAATAAAAAGATGTGACAAGTTTCAATAGAAAATAAAAAAAATCCCTAACCATTTTCTCCTCATTTTATTTATTTGCTCATTTGCATACATTGTATCACACATTTGTGTAGGATTAGATCAACCTTCAGTGCATATCTGCACGAAAGACAAAAGCCAAAGTCTAAAAAAATGAGTAAAACTGTGTTGTAATGTTTGCCAGTGATAGGAAATTACTCAGCATGCAGACTTAACTCTGACAATGAACAGAAGGCTTGCATGATGCTGAATGACTGGACGATAAAATGGCACACGAAATTAAATGATGATGCAAGCAAAGTAATATCCACAGAGAAAAACAACTCTAATTTTGCATATACATAATGATGGTCTAAATTATCTCTGGAAAAATAGCTTAGACTCATTGTCCACTGTCCTCTAAAAAATGTCATTTTAAACCTTAGCAGCAATTAGAAAGGCAAATGTAATGTTAGGTATTATAATGAAAATAGCCAAAACCAAACCAGAAAACATCATTATGGACCATTCCTAACTTTGACACCAGCTGCAGTTCTGGTTAGCCCATTGCAAAAAAAAAAAAAAAGCACTGTAGAACCAGAAAAGCTATAGAGAAAAGTGACAAATATCTTCAGCAACAAGGAACAACGCAGAGAGCCTAACTAGACTGTGACTTTAGCTACAGAAAGAGACTAGTAAGGATAGAGATGACAGAGTCTTAAATGTTGTGGTAAAAGCGCTTAGTGAAGTCACTTCTTCCTGTAACACAGGATTTAATGATCACCTGATAAAACGACGAAGTAACATTTTTAAACCTCACCCCCAGAAAAAGAAATCCTTTTCCACACATCTCACGATGAAGTCGTGGCACTGACAGGCACTGCACATAGTGGCCGCCACAGCTCCTGAAAGGAGATAGTTACGTTCACGGAAGAAAAGTCCTTCAAGGTGCAAATGAAACCGCTACCTCCAAAAGCCAAATTAAATTGTCTCTGAACACATTATGGTCATGTGTGCGCAGAACTATAAAACAATCCTTAGAACCTGATATGTAATTCAGGGATTAATTACACAGGGCTTCTTCATCTGCACAGCATCTGATGACAGCTTACAAAAGAAACTTGGAAATTACACATTTTTGGCTAAAAATTCCGCAGAAATGAATACTACCTATAACCAAAAAGGTATAATTTCATACAGTGCTTCACCTGCCAGGTAGTCTCACTAAGACTTGTTTAAATGCAGATCAGTTCAGCGTAAAAGAGGGAATTTCTGGTGGCACAGCTGACATAAACCAGTCTATTCAGATTAGGAAGTCATTAGGCAGCTAACAGGATACATGTATTTTCGCGCCTGTCTGCTCATGTAAAGGTCAGACTGCAAAATTAGCATAGAAAAATTAGACAGGACTCAGAATACTGAGGGTGTTTGAGGGAGCTTGCTACTGGGGTTGACATAATACTGCTTTCAAGTTTAATTTTGCCATGGTTAAAAACAAGCTACAGCCCTTTTTGCCTGACCAGCGCACTAACTTCCTAAGATAATAGAGAAGCTTGGTGTGAGTGAGTTTACAAAAGATTCTGACAATTTCTTAGCTGTTCTTTTGCCTTTCAAGCAAGATGATGAGATATGATATGAGATAGTATGTGAAGCAACACATTAATAAGTCACCAGAACAATGATGAAAGTATTTTTACATTCTTTCAGAATACCTGATACGAAAAAGCAACAAGTTAGAAATGGACACCTGGAAATACCTTGCCCAGGACATAAATTACCTCAGGAGATTTCTAAGGCAGGTATGAGGATTAAAAGAAAATTTAGAGCTGAGTGTTATTAGCAGAACGAATGATTCTTCACCAATTAACGAAGTACATTAAGATACCACAGTATTTCCATCACTATTTTGTGTCTATGATTTATTTTTGAATAAATGGAAATAATAATCTGATGATAATTAATTTTGTGAGGACTGAGCATGACATGAACCAACCATAGAAAACTGCAACTCACAGATCTCGCTACCCTTTAGATTCAGTAGCTAGGTATACAAAAGTCAGTTGCTAAGATTTTTAATACCACAGAGCATAGGGGATTTGTCAATTCATGTGCAAGACTCAGCACCTCCCAGAAATGAGCTTTAAAAACCTAGAGTTGAGCTGCAGATGAGAATTATTTTATCTCCTTGCTTGTGAAGCACTACATTATCCCCAAATATTTGATCCCTTGAGGTTCAACTCATTTATGTTCCATCATCTGTGGTATTTCTAATTGAATTGATTTCCACAGATTTTCCACTAATTAAGTACAAATAAATCATACAGCCTTTCTGAGTGCTGGGAGACATAATTCTCATTTGGAATATCTGTCTGAGAGGATATTCTAAAATACCAAAATACAATCTATCTCAGATCAGGATAAAATGGGCAATTTTTTTTTTTCTTTTGGTAGATTTTGTAATATGAATGTTGACTATTTATCACTTACATACAAACACTTAAATATTAATTTAGAATGGATTGCTTCTATAATTTGCCCTTCAGAATGTTTATGAGGTCATATGTTTCCTTGAAATGATTCTATTTCATTAAAAATCATTCTATAAGAAAATAATTGATCTGATATGTGAACATTATGGCTATTATTTACATTTATCAATATTAAAGGTGGTATTTCTTGACAAGATTTAAAACTGCAGCTCTGATGATTTACGTCAATATAAGTTCCTATGTCATATTTGTAGAACAAGTATTGTTTGCTTACAA